TTAAATTTTTGCTAATTAATTAAAAAAAATATTTAAAAATCGAGTTAAATCAATTTTCCTCTTTTTTTTCATTATTCCTTTTGATATTCCCTTTTCGGCAGCGCTGTTTGAGGGCTTCGCCCAAACCCCATCCCAACGAGGGTAGACGAAACGCTGCCGATATTTTAGTAAATTCCCAAAATTTATTTCTACCCCTAAAAATCATCAAACTCGGCGGGCTTATATATGTATTGATCCTTAATATATATAAACTAAGAAAGAAATTTTATCTTAATTAAATATATTTTCTTTAATTTATAATTGAAAAATACGAAAGAATTCCCTAGAAGAAGAAGGGAAAGAGACGCTGTGGAAACCTGGTTTCGAGTGAACCTACTAGCTTGTTCTCGAAGGCGTGAGGCGAGCGACGAGAATTTTTCAGTTATTAATCTACACCTCCCTCTTGCTGCGTTCTCTCTAGCTGCCAGTTGAATGTGGCCGCGGGTGCAAGTAGAGGTCTATGGGGCAACCATTGACTGGGACTTGGAGCCCCCTGAACTCATAGAGGGGAATCTGGTCGAGCTCACGATCCCCGGGCGCAACATTAGACACGTTGACGGCCAGTTTGCGTGGAGGTCCATAATCTTGTCCGAGGACGTGTGGCTTTGGACGTACAGAGAGCACCGGCCGGGGCAAGGAGTGAGCGTAGTGAGAGCCTACTTGTATTTGGGACCGGGTGCGGTCAGGGAGGTCGTGGTGGGCCTCGCGACGACAGGGACTAGTGGCACAATTAGCAGGGCGTTACTCTACGTAGGGGAAGAGGTAGCTGCCTTCCGAGCGGAGGACTCGAGCGACCCGTTGACCCTATTTCACGGACGTCCTCCTCTTGATATCACGGGCGAGCTGGTGGTAGCACAGGACGGGTTTTTCCCATACACCGTCAGGAGCCTGCGGGCGATAGTTCCGACGTTCGTAGTAGAGAGCGTCTTTGGAGGTATTGGTGGAGTGGTGAGACATACTTGGCCTATCAGGATCTCAAGATCCTGGCGAGAAGGCCTGCCGATCTAAACTACATTTTTTATTCGCTCGCAACCGGTGGGCCTCGTTGGGGAGACGAGAGGGTTCAGCTTATAGAGCTGATCCGCTCGATAGACGACGAGTGGCCCCAGTCTCCGTGCGTTTGGGATTGGCTAGACTGCGAGCTCCGAGCAGGCCCCGAGTACATGACATGCATCGGGCGGCTCTTCTCAGACGACTGGGAGAGCTGGTGGGGTGAGGACGCCGGGCGGCCTCTGATATACAGCCATCAGTTGGCGCAATACTACCAGGGTATAGGACAGGCGCCATACCGCGTCGAGGACGAGTTTGACGACGAGGGTTGGGAGCGAGAGGACGACGAGGACGCCTGGGAGTCAGACTGGGTCGACCCAGAGAGTGAGGTTGACGAGGAGGAGATTGACGTTACACACGCCCATTTTCCCAGGATAGGGGTAGCAGTCCGGACGTAGGAGATAGAGGAGCACATTAGAGTGACGGTTGAGTGAGCTTAGCTACTGATCCTACTCGACCATACTGGACCTGAGTGCGAGAGTTGTCTGGACGGTTAGCAACGTCGAGAGATGGGGTGCATCCGAGGGAGTAGAGTGATGCTGACCGAGAGTAGGAGAAGAGATGAGGAGTGATTCAGTGGCCTGGTTAGCTTATGTTATCTCACGAGAGTCTGAATCGTATAGTGGGAGGAAACTTGTGAGACCCAGAGAGACGGCGGTTGGATACGACATACCACTTCCTGTGGCGTTAGAAGAGGCAGGGTGTGTACCGATACGATACTTGGGAACGTGGCTCGCAGAGGGGCTCTTCCTTTGGACAGTGATACTATGAGACGAACGACCCGAGAGGACTCATGATCTAGAAGGGGTCGTACATCTGATAGCGGATAGAGCACACGATTTAGAGATAGGACTAACGCTCGCAGGGGTGAGGAGGAGTTGGTGGAGGAGCGAGTTGTTGGCCGGAGTGATCGTTAATCAGCAATTGACGAGACTCTCTGGAGGGAGGACGAGTTGGAGCTGCTTGGTATACGGTCCACCACATCCGACCCTCTACCCGAAAAAGGATTGGCGATTCGGACTTCCTACCTTCGTGATAGGGCATACCTATGGGAGCATGGATCGTTTGAGTAGAGCAGTGGACCACACACTTTACGCGCTCTGGGAGGGCTTAGCGCCCCGCTTCGAAGAAGTATACTAAGCCATTTGTGTGAGGTGGGGGCCGCCCAATAGAGAGACACTTGACGACATCATAGACGTTACTAGCTGGGTGGACTATCTGAGGTCAATCGATCTAATTAGGTACTGCAGGAGACGGGCAGAGATCGATTACGCGGGGCTAGAGGATGTGAGATTTCTCTTCGAGGCCGCAGCCTAGGGAATGCCGGGAAGGACGGCCACGGTGATGCGTGTGGTAGAGCAACTGGTAAGCGCAGGATACACTGTGACARTACTTCTCCGAGCGTACGTAGACGAGGACTTGACAGCGAGTGAGTGCAGACAATGAGCCAGGGATTTGATCCACGAGCGTAGAGCTGATGTACTGGCGCGAGTGACCTTCCAGACCTCGATTTCCTATGATGTCATGATATGGTCTCATGGTTGTATGCGCGCGGAGCACTACCACGATGAGACGGTCACGGAGGCTAGAGCGAGGGTGAGAGGATGAGCTGGAAAAAGATGTGGACTGAGTATAGTAGAGGATAGTAAGGCAGTCGGAAGAGTCAGAAAGCGCGTTAAAGAACTACTCTTGAACCAGGTAAAGAAGTTGGAGAACAAGTTAAGGGAGATCTGGTCGTGCCAGGACGAGGGCAAGTTGCGTAGGGCTGAACTCGTGACAAGAGAGTTAGACAATCTGTTTAGGGAAGAAAGAGAGATTATCCAGGCGTGGAGATCAGACTTTCTGGAGAGGGTAAAGGCTAGAAGCGTATCACGCGAAGAAACTAGTGAGCGATCTGCAGAGAGCGAGACAACGGAAGACAAAGTAACGCAGGG